TGTCTATTAATAACTCTCTCATACTCTGACATTCCGTACGGGAAATCAAATGCACAATACATACGAAACATAACAGAATATATTCAGCGTTGTATTGGAAAAGTGCATACAGTATACGGTATAACTATAAGACAGTATTATACGACACATACTGTATATTTACCACACAAACCAACCACTCCTCAGCTCTCTCTCTCTCTCTCTCTCTCTCTCTCTCTCTCTCTGCCATTATATGTCTAAAACATTAAACAAAAACAATGAAGAAATCAATTGTGAATTCCTGTCATAAGAGCCGAAAGAGAAAATTTTTCGTTTGTTTCGCTTTTGTTTCTCATTTTCTTCCTCTCATATAATCTCATACTTAATGGACAAAAGTGTTGAGAAAAAGAGTATACAATAAAAGCCCAGAGAAAATGATTTTCTTTCTATTCATTCAGTCTCTCTCTCTCTCTCTCTCTCTCTCTCTCTCTCTCAGCATTTCTTGGATATTGTGTTATTGTGTGCATCCCTTGTATCGCAAAAAATACTGTATAAGAAAGCGATTGAGTTTTTTGTCTTTTTATTTTTAATATATATTTTATATTATGAAAGGAAGTGAAAAGTGACTGAAAAATAAATTTTAAGAAAAATATTAGAGATATAATGTCTGTATATATACAGTACTTGTGCCTCATTTTTGTTGGTCTCCACTCCTCCTCCTCTGTAAACCGATTCTCTCTCTCTCTCTCTCTCTCTCTTCCTCTCATCCATCTCTCAAATACACCATTGATTTTGTTGTGTATGTGTTTGAAGTGTTTGTATATAAGTTGTCGTCTTTTTGCCAGTTATGTTATTGCGATCGCTAAACAAAATCTAATCCTTAAAACACATTCAACGTTCTCTCTCTCTCTCTCTCTCTCTCTCTCTCTCTCTCGTCTCTATCTTCATCCCTATGTTTGTCAATCTCTCAGTTTCTCGATTCCCTCTCTTTATTATTATTATTATTACTATAAAAGTAAATACCATTTGATATACAATATACTGGACCTGATTGGCAAACATATACCAACCCTTTCACTTCCTCTCTCTCTCTCTCTCTCTCTCTCTCTCTCTCTCTCTCTAAAGTCAATCCATTTTCATCTATTTATCTGCAAAAGCCATAGAAATTCACGCCAAACGTATAGAGACTGCGATTTGTTATCTATTTTGTGCCCCGAAATCGTCATTACATTACAATCTCTCCTATTTTTACGACGACTTTAAATGATTACGGGTTAGAAAAATATGTGCAGATTATGCAAAAAAATACACCAAACCATACATAAAGTGCACAGTTATTGCTATTTATTTAAAAAATTTCATTTCACGCATACATTTGTGTTGCTTTTCTTTGTGTCAATTTGTCTGCAATGAGAAAATTATATATATATTTGTCTTATAATTTATATTTATATCTCTATCTGTTTTTGTCGTACAAACAAATTTTGAGCATTTATTATACATATTATACACGTTATGCATATTTGCTATGTTTAGTGCATTAGTATTGTTATATAAATGTTTGTTTGCATTTTTCACACACAGACACACTATTTCTCCGCTATTTAATATGATTTCTTATTATTAGATATGATATTCTTGTAGTGATTTAATTAACGCTATTATTATTATCGCTATTATTGTTATTATTAAGTTTTCATATCATTCTCTCTCTCTCTCTCTCGCATCATATCTGATGATTGAATTTATACAATATTTTTAATAGCTATAAAACAATCAAATCTTTTTAGATTGTTTTTATAAGTTATAACACAACTAATCGCATAAAACAGTTTTATTTGTTTCAATTGCCTCAAATCTATTCAATAGTTTTATATATTTATATAATTTGATTATATTCTTGTGTGTATTGTTAAGCGGAATGTATTGACTGGATTCTCGCGTACTATCAATGACAACAATATATTGTTAAATAATATACAGAATATTCTGGTATATAATCCACTCGTTTATATGTATTAGTGGACAGCGCTATTGCCTTTAGGTATACATCTCTCACATAATATATCTTTACTGTTAGCGAAGAGAATGTCTGATAAAATCAATAATTTTTTTTCTGTTCATAATTTACCCACAAATATATACAGTATTGTATAATATATACAATATTTCTCTCTATGATTGTATATTAATCTCATACACATATTGTCTGTATATATGTGTGCGTATAGAGTAGAGTGTGATCGATAATTTATGGGCGATAACTAGGTCAATCGCAAAGGTCAAAGGTTAGGCTCGTTTTTGTGTATATATCGATCGCTATTATTGTTAAAAAACGTGTATTTAATGTTGGGTTCGGGTTTTCGTCGGTAGAAATGGATAGAAATGGTCAAAACACGGCAGAAGTTGTTGTTATACCCTATTGTCTCGCATTTAATAGTTTGTTAACGTAATAATTAAATATTAATACATATATTACCATTATTCTTATTATTCTTATTATATCCCAAACTTTTTTTTATTACTCTATCTCTCTGTTTATTATTCCCACTCTCTTTCTCTCTCCTATCGGTGTTTATAAATAATTTATATTTAAATAGCGTTTCGTATGAAAACAATGATAAACATAACAATAGGAGATATATCTCTCGTATAAGTAGTTAACAGACAAATACATGATAGCAAACAAACAAATAAGCCATACTGTGTCTGTGCCTACCTGTGCCACACTTATAACAGCCATCAATACTACAAACAATGAATAGAGTACTACCAGTACAACACACCACCCCTTCAGTGACAGAGTATTATATAAATATATACCCAAAACTGACGAGTGCTGTGAAAAGTATTGTTTTTAAGTGAAATACACACAAAAATCTATATCATTTGTCTATCTCTTCCCCTTCTTCTTCACAAAACGCGTTTCGGACGGATGTGTCTGTAAAATGATTATCAAAAATAACAAACAAACAAAAACCACAAACAAAAAACACAGTTACGAGTCGTGCGGGCCTTCCGGTCGACACTGGAGGACATGGAGGAGAGACGCAGCGTTCATAGCTTACACAGTTTGCGCACCTCTCGCAGCCATCCCGGGCCCCGTCCGCTGTCCGATATCAGTTTCATTGACGAAGAGGTGTCGGCCCCCTCTCCTATTGACTACCCCTATGCGGGCAGCGGTGGTGACACCCATTACCAGACCACTCGTACACCGGTTGTACCCGTGAGTTATGGTAACGCGGCGGTGACGGAGGCGGTGGGGGTGGCCGCGAAGCTCCGGCACCAGCAGTCGCTGAATCTCGGCAGCGGAGTCGGGTCGCCGGCGCCCGGTCTCGGCGAGACGGCCCCCCTTCTCGCCAAAGAGCCTCAAATGGAGAGATCCCGGAGCGCGCCCTTCGCCTCCAGTATGCATCCGATCGCCGCTAACCTCCAGTACAACAACAACCAGACATCAGGTGTGTGTCCATCGATATTACCAAAAACCGCCCCATACTATATGCCTGACCGCCCGTCCAATACTATCCGCACATTTTGTTTTATCGATCGGTGTTTCATATTATCTCTTCTCGTCAACTCTTCTTCTTCTCTCTCTGTCCACTCTAACCATCCCTTAACCCACTCTTCCCTTTCACTCTCTCACTACCAAACTATAGGTGCGAATCAGAGACACATGACTCCGGGTTCTGCGGCGGCGGCGGTGGCCGCCCGACAGACGGCAGCTCTCAATAATCCATTAGTACAGGGATATCATCTGTTGGCCGAACCCAACAGAATCCATGAGACAAGTATATGATGATTGCAGAGGAGGTGGTGGTGCTTAGGCGGCGGCCACACCGGGCCTGTCGTGTCCACTCACACCCGGTCTCGAGTGGTGTGTGTTATGTGTGTCAGTGACTGACTATTTATATCTATGTATATCTCTTGTATCGGCCGGAGAAATGGTGGTCAACACCGCAAACACGCCGACAGCGACTACTACTACTAACTTCTTGTACACAACGACACCGACACCCGCGCCGACCAGTCTATCCAATGTCTTACCACTACTTCGACAACAACTATCACTACCACTACTTCTACTATAACTTCATCGTCTCATTATATCTCTCTCGCAATATGTAGTCAAACAAAGCAGTCATTTCTCGCAACACATCTCTTCGTCTCTCAAATATATATTTTATTTTTCGCTTTTTCTTCACTTCCTTTTCAATCTCTATCTCTCTGTTTGTGTCTTAAAGGGTGTGTCCTCTCAAGTCCTCTCTCATTCATACATACATTTCATACACTAATTATAATTATAATAATACCCGTCCTCTCAATACATATGGTGTGCCCTAATCGGTGCCATAAGAAATGGCCGGCAATAATGACACCACCCGTACCCCCGACAACTCATCCCCATCTCTCTCTCTCTCTCTCTCTCTCTCTCTCTCATTGAATATATTTATCATCATAAATTGTCATTTGCTTTCACTCTCACATAACACACACACATATACATAGAAATAGAGCCAAAAAAGTGGGTTTAATTGTAAAAAATACAAA